CCTTGATCGTGAAAATTTATTCCTACAGTCTTGACATTCGTAGCGTCTCTCTCCTATGTGAACTCGTCTATGTTCAGTGAGGTCATATGACTGGATAAATGTTTCCCCACATTCCTCACATTCATAAGGTCTCTCTCCTCTGTGAATTCTTCTATGTTCAGTGAGCTGACTTGATCGTGAAAATGTTTTCCCACATTCCTGACATTTGTCAGGTCTCTCTCCTGTGTGAATTCTTCTATGTAACTTGAGTGGACGTGACTGGCTAAATGTATTCCCACATTCCTGATACTGATAAAGTCTCTCCCTTGTGTGAACTGCTCTATGTGAAGTGAGGCGACCTGATTCAGAAAATGTTTTCTCACATTCTGTACATTTATAAAGTCTCTCTCCTGTGTGAATTTTTCTGTGTTCCTTGAGATCAGCAAACCGTGAGAATGGTTTGCCACATTCTTCACATTCGTGAGGCTTCTCTCCTGTGTGTGTTCTTGTGTGTCTTCTAAGATGAGACAAGTGACAAAAGGTCTTCGAACATTCCTTGCATTCATAAGGTCTCTGTCCTCCATGAATTCTTCTATGTCTAATGAGGTGAATAGATTTTAAAAATCCTTTCCCACATTCCTTACATTCATACTGTCTTTTGGGAATTCCTCTTTGTTTAACGAGGTGATCCGACCGTGAGAAGGTCTTCTCACCTTCCATACATTGAACAGGTCTCTCTGCTGAGTGCATTTTGGCATGGAGAGTTAAAAGAGCAAGCCGAGGAAAGGTTTTTCCACACTGGTGACACTCATAAGGTTTCCCATCTGTATGTGTTCTTGCATGTCTCCTTAGGCATGACAAAGAACGCGGAGATTTTCCACATACCTTACAATTATAAGGCTTCTCTGTACTGTCAATGTTTCTGTTTCCTGTGCTGTCTGAAGTAGTAGTAAGGGGGGCAGAAGAAGAAAAGGGTTTCCCCTTTTCAATACACTCATAAAACTTTTCTAGAAAATTAAACGCTTCTTTGGAAACTAAAGGGAAAGGATCATTATAGGTCTCAGCACATTCCAAAGGTTCATGTTCATCTACCACATGGATCCAAAATGAAGAGAAGGTACAGAAATCTTTGCCACATTTCTTACATTCATGACCGGTGTCACCAAGGTCACTCCTCAACAGGTTTATGTCGACACGGTTGCAGGAATAACTTGGAAATCTGACGTGCAATTTCCCAGGGTGAGTGTCTTCAATCCTTTCACATGCCTCCTGTACTGTTTGACTTCTGAGAAAAATAAATATCACACAGTTGTAAGTGAGCGTGTTTCTGTAGGTCCACAATAGAACACAACGAAGGTGTGTGAGTTTAATTTCTCAAGAGTCTCATATGACTTCATTTAGCAAAATATAATTCCTAGAACTGCATTTACAAATCTAATTACACTTTCTGATACCTGTTTCCAAAGTCACAATGTTTCTCATGAGTATTTGCTGTGTTTTGGTATTTGTTTTTTTCATTTTCCTGATACTCACCTCGAATAGTTCTCTTTGAGTTTATGTAAATTTTCTTTGCCACACAGTTCTAACATTTTCCGTAACATGGAAGACCAAGGGTGGGTAGTCTCAAAGAATGTCAATTGAGTAC